CCCTCCCTGCCGTCTGGCAGTGCCGGTGGCGGCAAGATCTCCCTCGCTCGTTCCTGGAGCCAGGGTCGTGGGGCGCTTCTCCTTCTCCTGGACCTGGCAGCGAGCTCAATGGTTGGCGCGTGCTACTTGTGAACTACGTTGGGATTTTTTCGAAGAGGAGAGGATGATGCAGTACAATAGGGATAAATATTTCCCTCGGTTAAGAACCAAGATTATCAATCCAGTAGGAGAACCAAGCAACACTATGTAAGCAGTACCTGCACACAAACAATAAATCCTTGCAACCCAACGCGAACAAGGGGTTGTCAATCTCTTGACGGTTACGAGCAAGATTAAATTGTATGATGATAGATAGATAGATCAAACAAAAATATAAAATAAAATAAATAAAAGAAAAACGCAGCAAGGTGTTTTTGGTTTTAGTAAATGATACAAGACAGACCCGGGTGAGGGTGTCCCGGACTAAGGGGTCCTCGAGCTGCCGGCCTATCTCTCATGGGCCGCGCTGATGGGCCACTCTTGATTAATCAAAGGAAGGCCGGATTACAGGCGACCCCGTGCTCCACAAGGAAACCTCCGAAGACTTGCATATCCTCCAAGCCTAGTTAGCGTAACCAGCATGTTTATCCACTGACGATGACTGGCCATGTGTAACCCTAAGTACCCCTGGTGTCTATATAAACCGGAGGGTTTATCCCGTAGAGGGACGGAACCATTGTCACCATACCCACCTAGGGTTTAGTCCATCCGATCTCGTGGTAGATCAACTCAGTAATTGTCATACAAACACAATCAAGCAGGACGTAGGGTTTTACCTCCTCGAGAGGGCCTGAACCTGGGTAAGCATTGTCTTTATGTTCCCTTTTACCCATCGATCCAACATCCACAGCTCAGGACCCCCTACCTGAGATCCGTCGGTTTTGACAATGACTTTGGTGCTTTCACTGAGAGTTCCGCTGAAGAATCATCAAGGATCAATGGCTCGCCTAGTCGCCAGCAACAACATCCGTGATGGGACGTTTCGTTCCCGGCCAGCTCTTCGCGTTTGGCAGCATCATGCTACACGCTGATCCGACCGGCCATCTCTGTCGGGTCAATACTTTCGCTCCCGGTGAGAGATCAGGTTTGGAAACCTAGAGTTCCTTACCGACCCCTGGGGAGACCTTGTCCTCACAGGGTTCTCGTCTTCACCCGAAAGACCCACAAACCCCGAGGCTTCGACTTCAGGTTCGGCTTACCCCGTTATCAGGTTGGCCGCTACTCCGGATCCAGCCTTAAGCTTGAACCCTATCCCTACGCTCAACGACACAGGATCGGCCTCAACCGAGCATGACCCCAGGGCAATTTCGAACGCTCCCAGCGCAGCAAAACTGCAAATTAATCCTAAACATTGCCAGAACATGGACCCGATAGATTTCTCACTATTAAACGGGATATTGGATCAGATCCAAGCCATAGGGATTGCCGACGGCCAGTCCTCGTTTTGCAATCAGATCGGACTTAGAGTCGACGACAGGGAAATTTACATCCCGTCTGTCACTCACTTCTTCGCCATGGTCGAGGATCCGGCCGAAGACTCGCCCCCGCTCCCTCTGGAGCCTAGAACGAGTCGGGTACAAATCTTCGATCACCGAGCTTCGTCGTCTAGCTCAGAATCCGGCCTCCGCTTTGGAAGAGTCCAAAGCCAAAGTCCGATTCGGCACACGACCTCGACTCACATCCTGTTGGGATCAATTTTTTGTCCGACCCACCCCCACGTCGAGTACTCTCCAAGTACCTCGGGCGGCCCGGTATATGGGATCTAATGTATGTGAAACAACAGCCCGAAGAAATAATCTGGCAATTCTGGACTAGATTCCTCCTTATCAAAAGCAAGATAGCACACTACGACAGCCAGGAAATTCTGGCGACGTTCTATCATAACTGCCGAGACGAAGGCGTCCTAAACGCCCTCGCTCGCCGTCACATTCAAAGCTTCTCTAAGCTATCAAATTTGGTGTGCAAATACTGCGCCATGGAAGATGCTTGGCAGGCTTAGCAAGAGAAAACAGAGTCAATCCAAGCCGAGGAATCCAGACGAGCCCGGGTGAAGCGCGCACACTCTCGCCGGACAGCTAAATATGAGTTGCCCAAGAAAAAGAAGAAACCCCGGGCAGGATCTAGAACGGTCCTTGACGAACTACTGGACAAACCGTGCCCTATACACTCCATCCTGCTCAATAGAAACCCAACCCACAGCCTTCGAGCTTGTTGGGTGATCAGGCAGGTCACCAAGAGCGGAGAAGCCATCCTTAGAGGCTCATACTCAAACAGATGTCCAACAATGCCTTCGAATAATGACGCTGAGATCCTAATGATCTACAAAATGTATTCCTCAAAAATCGGAGGAAAAGAGCCTTTGGTAGTGTCACGCCCAAGATGCGATACTATCCCAAAGAGACTCGAAGGTCCCACCAAGGATAGAACCGCATATTGAAACGCTTTTGCAAGGTGGATATCATTACATCAACATTACATAATAGATGGGGATACATACATAAGGCATACAATGCCACACGAATACAACATCATCTTACATAAGAGCACCATCCGACTACGGATGAAACACAAACAGAAACTCAAACGACATCCACCCTGCTAACCCAGGCTGCCGACCTGGAACCTATCCCCTAATCGAAGAAGCAGAAGAAGAACTCAACGCAAGCAAGCATCGCTCTCGCGTCATGATCATCGCATAACCTGTACCTGCAACTGTTGTTGTAGTAATCTGTGAGCCACGAGGACTCAGCAATCCCATTACCATGGGTATCAAGACTAGCAAAGCTAAATGGGTAAGGAAGGGGTAAAGTGGTGAGGTTGCAGCAGCGACTAAGCATATATGGTGGCTAACATACGCAAATAAGAGCGAGAAGAGAGCAAACGGAACGGTTGTGAAACTAGCAATGATCAAGAAGTGATCCTGAACTCCTACTTACGTCAAACATAACCCAAAAACCGTGTTCACTTCCCGGACTCCGTCAAGAAGAGACCATCACGGCTACACACGCGGTTGATGCGTTTTAATTCGGATCTGGTGTCAAGTTATCTACAACCAGACATTAACAAATTCCCATCTGCCCATAACCGCGGGCACGGCTCTCGAAAGTTTATACCCTGTAGGGGTGTCCCAACTTAGCCCATGATAAGCTCTCGCGATCAACGAAGGATATACCTTCTCCCAGGAAGACCCGATCAGACTCGGAATCCCGGTTTACAAGACATTTCGACAATGGTAAAACAAGACCAGCAAAGCCGCCCGATGCGCCGACAAATCCCGATAGGAGCTGCACATATCTCGTTCTCAGGGCAACACCGGATGAGACTAGCTACGAGTAAAACCAACCCTCAAGTTGCCCTGAGGTGGCCCCGCAGGCAGCTCAGTTCGGACCAACACTTAGACAAGCACTGGCCCGGGGTGGGGGAGGCTAAAATAAAGATGACCCTCGGGTTGGCCGATCCAAGGGAAGGGTATAGGTGGTGGTGAGGCAAATGGTAAAACCAAGGTTGGGCCTTGCTGGAGGAGTTTTATTCAAAGCGAACTGTCAAGAGGGTCCCATAAATCACCCAACCGCATAAGGAACGCAAAATCCGGGAACATAACACCGGTATGACGGAAACTAGGGCGGCAAGAGTGGAACAAAACACCAGTCATAAGGCCGAGTCTTCCACCCTTTACCAAGTATATAGATGCATTAATTAAATAAGAGATATTGTGATATCCCAACAAAAATCCTGTCCACCATGGAGCAATCTTCAACTTCACCTGCAACTAACAACGCTATAAGAGGAGTTGAGCAAAGGC